TTCCAATGATTGCTAAGTTTATAACCGTCGTCTCGGTTGAAATTGTGTCTGTGTCTGTATATATGTATAATGAGAGAGCGCCATCCGGGGGGTGCCAGAGGGCAACGGGGATAGGCACAATTACGTAATCAGCATCCAATCCGAAGGGGGGATAATATCTGGGCCAGGGAGGATGGGAGAGTCGCACAGAGAGGTTCTGAAACCATCGGGAAGGTTCCACGAGGGGGCGTGGCTAGAGGCGGAGCCTAGCTCCGCCGGGGTGAATATAAGGAGAGGGTGAGGAGGACTCCTGGTCGGTGTGGGAAGCCTGGGTTCCGGACCGCATCACTGCTCATTCCCTCCTCACCACGGGCCACGTGGCGGATCCTCCAACGGAGCTCACCCCTCCTTCCGGGACGCCGTCAGTCAGCGGCGAGGCCGGGAAAGTGGAGTGAGGCACGGGGGTGCTCGGAGAGGGACGCCTCGTCTACGGTGTTGAGAAGAGGGACATCACCGGAGGGGGAGGGAGCGGAGCTGTGCCGTACTGCCGTTAATAAGAGAAGCACTCTGACAAGCATTGTCGTGGAAGTCTTTTATGGCTTCGTGAACGAATCTTTGTTGATAGCCAGTCGACTTGCAAAGTACCTTCGTCTTAGAGAAATACATTTCATGTGAGCCAGCCGCATTAAAGTAATGATCAGCCACGGCTGAGGTATTGGTCTTGCCATGTTTCAGATCTTATTTTCACGAACACGGTCCGAGACATGTCGTTTAGTTTCCCCAATGTAACTGCTGCCGCAGATATAGCTTATTTTGTAGACGCCGGGATATTGCATGTCAGGAATCTTGTCCTTCAAAGATGGGATCAGATCACGAATTTTAAGCACTGTACTCCTTGGTTCTTTCGGTAAAGTCACGTAGGTCGAAAAAATTAATAATAAATTACGGCGTTTCGATCGCAACACAACCAATCGTCATCAGAAAGAAACATTAGCCCTGTCGTCGCACACGAGCACCGTCGCCGCACGCACATACAACAGCTGCGTTAATGCTGTTCCGGCATCGGCGCATCCACACATCATGGATGCATGCCGGTTCCAAGCAAGAACATCTGCTGGACTACATAGTGACAAAACAGCGGATGCGGGCCCATGTCGTTGAAACCAGGACCTACCGTGGAGCTGATCTGCCCACTGACCATTGACTTGTCATCTGTAAGATGCGCCTGCCATGCTCTCACTCCAGTGGTGGGTGTACACCCAGGATCCCATTCAAACCAACAGTGGCATGGTCTCAGCTAGCTGATGAAAGTTGCAAGCGAGAATTTCATCATCGCTTGCGGCTGGGGTTGGCATCTTCCCCTATTCCTCCTGATGTCGAGGGGAAATTGGCGAGGTTTAGGACTGTGGCTCATGCAGCTGCAATGGCTGCTTTGGGTACACGGTCCAGACCTCCCCAGAGACCCTGGCTGACAGAGGAGGTGTTCAGGTTGGCTGAGAAAAAGTGACAGGGCCACTCTCATCGTCTATACTCTATAGCATCCCACGTCAGAGAATGAGGCTTACCGCAGCCTTCGCTCAAAGGTTTGGAGAGCCGTGAGGCACTGCAAGTATGGTTGGTGGTCGCGAGTTGCTGAGATGGAGTCTGCCTCAATGGCCCGCGATCACAAATCGCTCTTTAATTCCATCAAAAAAGTAACCTGCAGCGCCACACCTATTTCCATTATTAGGGGAAAAAACGGTGATCCAATCTCCGACCCCCAGGAATAGGTTTGCAAATTTGATGAGCATTTCTGATGAGGGCCTGGGGGAGGGTAAATCCCTCAGCCTGGAAAATATTATGGGACAAAGTGGGGATGACCCTGCTGAGGCGCCTCAAATATGGGAAGAAGTCACCCCCTGTGAGTGGCTGGCTGAGGTGCCATCTGTTGAGGGAGTACTAAAGGCGATCCAGAGCCTGAGACCAGGAAAGGCACCGTGCAGAGATGATCTCCAAAGCTAAATGCTGAGGGAGGGTGGCGTTTGTGCATAGACTGCCCGACATGACATCATAACAACAGTCTGGACCACAAGACGGGTTCCACAGATTGGAAGGATGCCCTGGTGGTCCCCCTCTTTAAGAAGAGGGACAATTGAGGCAGACTGTAACTATAGGGGCATCTCACTTCTCAGTGTGCCGGGAAAGGTCCTGGCAAGGATTATTCAACATCGCCTTGCCAGGCACGCTGAGAGGAGGCTTGCAGAGCTCCAATGTGGTTTCAGGAAAGGGCGTTCCTACACAGATGCCATATTTTCTGTCCGTCTGCTATAGCAGAAGTGTAGGGAATTCCAACAAGACCTACATCTCTGCTTTATTAACCTGATCAAGGCCTATGATACCATAAGTAGGCCTGGGCTTTGGGTTGTTCTTCGTGCTTTCGGAGTCCCTGACTCGCTGCTCACGATCATTAAGGACCTTCGTGATGGTGAGCGGGCCCGGGTAAAACTACGTGGCCGGGAGTCGGAGCTATTATTTTGACCACGTAGTAGGCCTCGGCAAGGCAAGGTAAAAGTTAAAATGTAAAAAAAAAGAGCCGACCTTACCACAATACAATCACTCTACCCTACCTTTTACCCTTTAGCAGGTAAGGTAAAATGTAAAAAGCAACGAGCCTAGCTTTACCCTACCTTTTACCCTTACCCCATACAAATTACCCGATCACAGGGTACTTACTGGGGTACTACTACACATGAACAAGGTTTATAATGGTAAATGCTAGGTAGAGCGCTTTATTCATATAGAATACTCCCGATGATTCCAATTTCACACGCTTTCTTTGAACTCACTCTGTTGTTGTATCCTCAAATCTTGTAGCTCAATTTTAACCCACTTCGCAATGTGGTATCGACTGCAAACTTGGTATATTTATGTCATACTGATGACAACACTATATTCTATCATAACAAATGTTTTTAAACATTATTTTTTGTTATGTTTGGGCTTGGTTCTAATTGTCCACGCTCATCTGACGTTGGCTGTAATTGGCCACGGTGCCTGACGCTATGGCGAGCTTCGGGGCCACTTCCTGGAGTCGTGGAGTTCTGCCATTACTAGTACATTTACTAAAATCGTGTTTAAAAAAAAAAAACCAAGGTACTGTATTTACCGGGTAATACTTCGCGCTACCTTTACCCTACCAGGTAATTCTTCTGAGCTACCTTTACCCTGTTACCCTTTACCTTACCCCTAGGCATGTCGACACCTTTACCTTTACCCTTTTACCCGGTAAAAAGGGTAAATTACCTTGCCGAGGCCTACCACGTAGTTCGCGAAGCTTTTGATGGCTATACCGGAGGATTTTCCACCTGGTACAGATACAATGGGAGGCTGATCAGTGCCCGGGTGTGGTCAAGGGATGGCTCCCTATTGCTCAACCGCGTTATGTATGCCAATGATCTGGTAATTGCTGCTCACTCAGGAGGAGTTGGAAGCACTGCTGCTGAACCTGGAGCTTGCCACTAAGAGGTAGGGCCTTACCATCAGCCCCACAAAAACTAAGCACCTGCCTGGGTATTTTGTACCATTGGGCACTCCATCCCCACAACTCCCAATCGGTGATGGGGCAGTAGTGGAGTGGAGAGTTTCCCATACCTGGGCAGTGTGCTTATGACCGGCTTCAGTTTAACAGCAGATGTCTCACTCCGAATCAGTCGAGCGGCAATATCTTTTTCATCGGTTGTGTAACGCTGTGTGGAAAGCTACCTGGTCTGTCGCTCCGCACGAAGCTTCAGGTCTTTTCGGCCAGTCATTCCCTCCCTTCTCTACGCTTGCGAAACGTGGACCCCCCCTAATGAAACATCTTCGTCAATTAGAAACATTTAGGCTGGCCTGCCTATGATCCATCCTGGGTTTAACCAGGCTGGATTGTGTGAGGAACTCACAAATCCTTGAAAGATCTGGGCAAAGTCCCATTGGTGAGCTCCTCCGGTAGGCAAGGCTGCGTTGGCTGGGTCATGTTGCACGCATGCCCAGCCACCGCATCCTGAAACAGCTTTTGTTCGGCCAGATCGAGGGGGCTAAACGGGCGTGGCATGGGCTGGAGAAGAGATGAAGTGATGTGGTACAGGACGTGGAGCTAAATAAACTTCAAAGACTACAAAACCTAGCACGCGTCATTGTCCACACTCATCCCCGTCTCGACTCACTAGCTTTTCTCCGTGCTCTCAACTGGCTACCCATCGCCAGTAGGGTCACATACAAGACCGCCTTGCCTCTGCCACAATGCCTTCATATCCGCCTGCCCGCCGTATCTTTCTTCATTTTGACAACTTGCAGCTCAGCACACGGCAGATGCCTGCACAGCGTGACTAACGACCTCCTCTTGATACCAAGATGGTCACGTCTATGCGCCGCTTCTCGGAACGATATCCCTCTGCACATTCGCAGCATCACCTCAATCGCCTCCTTCAAGAGACTTAAAAACTCACCTCTGCAATCACGCTTTCGAGCGACTGTGAGCTTGGCTCCACGCCTCTGAGTTGCGGCCACTACGTCTGCAAATTTACGCGCATTACAAATTGAACTATTATTATCATTAGTGGACTTGCCGATGACTGGTACTAGCGATGTCAAGATCGACCTCTGTGGAGGAGGCTCGTGAAGGACACGGATGGGGAGCGGAGCGCCGGCTTGCTAAAGCATAGCAAGTTGGCATAGTAGGGGGCACAGGTGGTGCATCAGCCACTCATCTCAGTCAGTTGACCCATGGCACCTGGGTCTGCCCCATGACCTCCTGCCAGCGGGCATTCGACACTACACGTGGCCTAAATGTGCACATAGCCTGGCACAAGCGTCGTGGTGCCGTCACCAAATGGCGGTTGTTGTTGTCTTTTTCGCCCGGGCAACGCTGAGTATTTCCCGCCAGTTGTCGATATATGTTGTATATATATAAAAAACCATTACCACAATGATATCAAGTACGGTCACTAACACCACGCGCGTTTAAGAAAATTAAGGACACGACTAGGTATAGGAATACACAGTGACACTGGAAAGGATTTTTTTTAATTAATAAACTCAACACGTAATAGGGGCGTTCTATAGTGTAACCTTTTACAATGAAAAGCTCAAATGTTATTCTGAATGTCAGACGTACAGACAACGCGATGTATTTTTACTCTGAGGCAAAGAGTAAAACACCAGCACCACCTCGGCCCACACCACACTTCACCCCGAGCCTAATCTCAAACACACACCATCTCATCATCTCACACATCATACACACGATCGCCTCGGTTTTCATTACACACAAACAAGGTCTTCAGCCAACATAACACACACCATGTCCTAAAAATCACATACCATCGCCTAAAGCTTCATTACATGCACATACAGCCACAAATGCCATCCTCCCTTGGCCCTTATGAGCACCACCTCTCTGGCGTTCAGTGCACACATACACATGCTCCTCAGCCCTCGACACAAGTCTGCACCACACCTTCGGTCTAAATTCACAATACACGGTCTCTTTTCTATCCTACATCTACCCCATTTGTTTCAAGAGTTTTGTTTGGTTTTTCTGCACAGCTTCTGAAGAAGGCCAATGATCTGGATGGGCGCAAGTGCACACACACGCACAGGTAGGCAGGCACAGTCATTTCCTCGTACAACAAAATATAAGTGCTTCAGATTCCAGCTCCAGTGGGGCACACGGTGGCCTAAATGTGCTCCTCTCTCTTGTGCTGACGTGACCACGCCGAACTGAGACAGAAACGCAACGCAGCCACGTTGACATCCCAGCCACCCCGAGCCACCTCTTAGCACGATTATCCTGCAGTACACGTCGTAGGAAATTCTTCACACATAGGCTTATGTCACAGTTACAACTTGTCATGGTTAATTATGCTCACATTTCATGCCAATTGACACAATCACCATCAAATGCAGTTGTGATGCATGCCGATCTATGGAAAAGGTGGGGAACCTACGGCCTGCAGGTGGACATCACGCATATGGCCCACAGCCTCATGACGCCTACAGTCCATAAACAATCCATTACTGCAAAAAATCTTAGCAACACTAATTGAGTACTTGAGGGAGATTTTTCAGCCTGGCAACACCATTGGAAACATTAATGCGCCGAGTATCCTGTTACCTTTAAAGTAGCTTTGAGAACAAAGGCAATGCATACAGTCCAAGCGTGATCAAAGTGTAGTGTTAACTAATGTGCGGCTGCCCTCTAAATGTATTTGAAAGTCCTATTCGGCCCTCAGTAAGGAAAAGGTTAAATGTTGCCAGATAATCCGAATAAATATTTCAGTATCCTCGAGATTCTGCGACCATCATTAGGTGATTAATCATATAAAAATTGTCTCTTCCCTGTTCCCAATTCCATCGACATAATAGCACTGTTACCACCTCTATTAAAAACATTTCCCAACCAAGCCAAACCCATTACATAAAAAACGAATATTACGCTTATTTTTGGCAGCAATCTGACTCCATACTCTGTGCCACAACAGCACACGGTGCAAAAATACATGCCCTCTCACACGTGCCCAATCTTTACACACACATTCACAACTCAGTGGTGCACCCCCCCCCCCCCCACACTTATGTGACCCCATGGTTCCAAGTGCTCCCAAAAGTTTATGGCGGAACTTCCCAATGGTCGCGAACGGAAGCACCCCTCCGTTGTCAAAACGACTCCAAATTTCACAAACGCTCAGCCAAATGCTCAACTGTACATGTATTGATAGCGGAGACTTCAATTATAAAAGTATCTTTAAACCAATCTTCTCGGCAGCATGAGCTCGCCCAGGCAGACACTCGCACATGGTCGCACAAACCACATCTTCAAACCTCCTAGACCCCCCCTCCCACCTCTGCATTTGTAAAAATGGCAACCTGCAGCTTTGGAGGTGCAGGCCCAAATCGGGGTTACTCGCTAGGGCTTGTAGGAGCCCCCACCCCGCTTACTTAGGCACTCGTTAGCACTGCCGTAAAAACGTCACGAAGTTAAAACGCGGCGATTAAAAGCACATGCGCGCTATAAGCAACGCTTACATGAGCAGCCACCGGCCACTTGTGTGGCCACATCCACCAACCTCCCCAAACACGGCGAGACGGGCCACCAGATCATATGCACGCACAAACCTGCCTGTCCCCTGCCGCCATGACACGTGTGCTGGTCTGCCAGAAGCAGAAACTACGATTTGACAACCGCTCCTCGAGCCTCAACAGTTTGTTACCTTGATCTTGCCTTGACCTTGACCGGCACTCTCCGGCCACTGCAGTGCTTCGGCAGTTTCACCAGACGTCCCGCGCGTGGATGACCGCCACGCATGAACGTGCGTTACACAAGCCCCACTCCATGGGGCAAAACTAAAAGCAGCCACCCAATTCCTCCGTTGTTGTCATGGCGCAATTGAGTAAATGTAAGGTCAGATAGGAAAAGTCAAGTTCTGTAAAGGTCAGGTCATGAGGTTGGCTCGTGGGGAGTTTGGCTCGTGGGCGACAGGGCCGGACATTGCACAGACAAGGCTGCCAGTGGCTGCACGCAAGCGCCGTGCTGGCAAAGAAGGCCACGAGGCTAAAATGAACGCCTAATCGCTGCAACGCCTTACAAGCCGTTACATCATCACTTACAATTCATCACAAAACATTAATGCAATATGCTTCATATTAAGCATTAGAAAGCCACAATATTATACTCAGTACTGCCTAGATTTGTGGGTCATGGTTAGTTTGAATATTCAGCCACAAGATGGAACACGGCTGCAATTGACTACAGCAGGTTGCTGAAGATGGAATAGGAGATGATCCCTTCAGCAACGGATGAACAGAGTTCTCTTACAGCAACCTGCAGCGCACGTCGATTGTGCAGCGCCAGCAGGGGGCCAGTCGCCGGCTCCGTGGGCTTCATGCAAAGCCCACGGTGCCCAGCACTAGGCGCCTTCCGAAAGCGTGCATTAGCGGATTTTTCTAACAGCCCTGTGCGGAAAACAGGGAGTCGGAATCCCTCAAGAGCTGTGGATGCGCAACCAATTCCCAAGTCAATCTCTCACCCCTGCTCCTAGGCACACATCTTTAAGGGGGTTCTCTTATAATTCCTTCCTTGTTCCATTCGTTCGTTCTAATAAATGTTTATATTCAGGATTAAAATAACAACCGACAATGTATTATGCTGCTGGTGAAGCCCGTTTTCCAGGAGACCCCTTGTTTCGAATTTGCTTCAACATCACTGAGGATTCCTGGTGAGTTTATCCAATGGTCAGACAGCGTATACCAACGCAGCTGCCCTCGACAAAACTTAAGGGCTGAGAAGATGCAATCTGCTATGGTGACACATACGGGCAGAGGCCCTAGGTGGAAATGGCAACAGGGGCATGGGGCCCATTGAGCGGAGCAGGGGGCCCGTTGGTGCAACAGCGGCCGAGGGCCTCCTCCAGGTATGAGGCAAGCAGGGGGCGGTCTGCCTGCATGCGCGCACACACACACACATAACCTCTGTATAACCTATACAGACGGTTGGGGCCAGTGCTGTTCATGAGCACCTATTAGACGCTGCATGGTATGCAGTGGGGGTGGCGTGGCAAGCATCATGCCTGGTCATCTTGTGAAGTTTACACATCGCACCAGGTACTCATTTCAGGCCAATTTGACTTCAGGGAGGTCCCAGGACCATTTCAGCTGTCAGTCGCCACTGATGCTAGCTGTAGGCTGATATCGAACGCAAGTCGCTCGGTTTGTAGCGCATTGCGCTCACCACTAGTGTATACTTTGTTGTCCTTCCCCCGAACCTCCAATGAGCACGGTTGGCTAGGTATGGCGCGAAAGAAGTTCAACATACATACATACCACAATACTGTTCCACCCACACACAGACACACATGAACACATCCGCGTACAGACACAAAGGCACGCACGACGCAGGAACACAAACCAATGCATGCATTAACAGGAAGCCTCGTCCTGCCCCAAATAAGTGTATGGGTGTACGCATCTGGGCGTAGTTGCGTGTGTACATATGCACGAAGCCCACCTCACTTATGAAGCCAAATCGCACGAGCTCCCCGGCCAGGTCCTGCGAGCTGTCTCCTGAATGTGCAGATACAGGGAAGAGCCATGAATGCGTCAAGGGTGAGAGCAGCAGACGCTTTCATTTGGGTTCTTATACGTGCAGTGTGCTGCACGTATACAGATCTTCAGTAATTTACATAACGGTTTCCTACTTTTAACTGAGAAATTAAGAGAGTTGCCTTGGCGTGATGATCAGCACACTGCACCTGTAATCCAAAGGTTGCCGATTCAATTTAATCTCCAACACGGCACTTGGAACAATGAGGCAAATTTCTTAAATCCCCCTGGGAAAATGGGTATAGCCCGCAGTCCATTGGCAGGTCCCGTGTGGTGGGGGCAGGGTGTGTGTACAACTGCCTCTTCCAAGATATCCGACCTGCATAGAAAAGTAGGCCAAATATCCTCTACAACTCCCTCTCGTTGAGCCCCTTCTGCCAGAATTGGCATGAGCAGCATTTTCAGAATGGTACCGTTACCTTGAAACTGAGAAACGTACCAAGCAGCGACTTCAGCCGCCATGCTTTATTTACGTCCGAGGGTGCCAATAAGTGCAGATATTACAAAAATTCCACTGAAAACGATTTCCACTTTCTGACTTTAGCAACTGGTAATCTATTCTAAAAACGGTTACAGGTTTAACGGTTATCATTTAACAACCCGATATGTAACAAACACGGTCATGAAGTCACGAGGACTCGAAAACAAAGCCAGTCTCACCCGGCATGAGGTCACAGCTCAGCTGCCGGTTCAGCTTGTCTTCCAGCTTCAGCAGCAGCGTCAGCTGTGTCCACAACCACAAAAGCGAGCGGTCAGCGGGTCTGCACACTTCCCTTCCTCACGGTGCCCTCCGAGTGCCGCCCGGGTAGAGGCACCGCTACCAAGGCCCCAACAATCAGCGGCGCGCGGTGCTAGGGTGTTCCGTGCCAATACGTACGTGTCGCCGCGCCCCCTCCTCCAGCGCCTCGATGTTGCACTGCACATGTACCACCTGGGAGTGTAACAACAAAAGGGCTCGTGACAGCCTTCCTCCACACATCGTCACACACTCAGGGAAGTGCTCGACAATACCCGGCAAGGGGTGTGGAGGCCGTGTAGAATGCGGTGAAGGGTACAGCACCACGCTTTAGAGTATGGTTGAGGGTGAAGCTGGATAGTGTAATGTGCAGCAGGATGGTATAGAGTGCATGTACGTTGAACTTCTTTAGCACCGTACGTAGCCAACGGTGCTCATCGGAGGTGCGGAGTGTGGTGGAAGGTGAAGCACAGTGAAGGGTGAAGCAGGGCAGTGTTCATACCTTGCGTGTCTCCACCTCCGTTGGCTCGGGCGTGGGGCTGCGTTCAGACTCGGGGGCTGCAGGCGATTGGGCGCGCGGAGAGTGGTGTGGCCGAGGCAGCCCAAACGCGGTCAGGGGGTAGATCCCATTTCTGATCGCCCACAAGCGCACGCGCAAAAGCAAAACATCCCCCGTATAGCCCGTTACAGATCGTAGAGACAAGTTTTGTTCACGAGCACCTTTAAAGACTGGGACAGCACATTAGGGAGTGGGTGGCAAGTACCGCGCCGGGCTGTTGCCGTCTGCCCAATGCTGAGGTCTACACACCACACCAGGTCTTCATTGAGGTGACATGCACACGTGCACGCAGACGCACACACGTGAAACAGAGCGCGCAGAGTACACATACAGATGTGTGAACTCGGTACACTCCCACAGTGCAAATACAAAGATCCCCCGTATAGCCTGATCAGACTATTGGGGCAAGTGATGTTAGCGAGCACCTATGAAGGCCAGAACGGCACACAAGAGAGTGGGTGGCCAGCACCACGCCCGCCCACTTTTGTCTCCCCAGTGGCGATGTTTATACACCGCATCAGGTACTCATTTGAGGCTGAGTCGACCTAGGGGAGGCCCAGGATCAGTTCAGATAATCGTCACTGGTGTTGGCCGCGAGCGGGAATTGAACTCGGGTTGCCAGGTTCATAGCGCAGGTCGCTAACCATTACACTACCGCTCCCCATACAGTACAAGCACGCACACACACATCCATCCATGCATGCATGCACAGGTGGAGCAGGTGTGTGGACGAGTATGAAAGGTGTGCATGGCAGGAGATGTTTACGTACTTCACATCTTCCAAGAACTTGTCAAGCTCCAAGGCAGACACTTGAGAAAATCTGAAACAAAACATTAATCGTCAAACACAACCGATATTTTCCACTAAGTGGCAGTGACGTCACCACAGCATCTGTACTCTAGGCTCGTTGCACTTTGAGGTCATGTGAAGTGTCGAAGGTTTTGCTGATGGGTCACAGGACAGACCTAGGTGCCATTGGTTGGCCAACTGAGATCATTTTAAGATGCACCACTTGTGCCCCCCACCGTGTTAACTTTCTGCATTCCACCCAGCACTCCGTTTGTTGTGGGTGTGGCTCCTCTTTTGCCCTCCTTAAAATGCCCAGTACAGTCATTCGCAAGTCTCCTCCATACAGGCCGATCTTGACACCGCTGGTATTAGTCATTGACAAGTCACCTCAGCTCCACATCCTTCTGTACAACATTATTCCTTCTCTTCTGTTGCCATTAGCGGGCACCTTTAAAGGCCAGCACAGCACATGAGGGGGCGAGTTGCCAACACCATGCCCCGACCGCCTTCGTCCCCCCAGTGTTGATATTTACGCACGGCACCAGATACTCACTTCGTTCAAATGTCCACCACTGTTATTGGTCACGAGTGAGAAACGAACTAGGGCCGCCAGGGTTGTAGTGCAGTGCGCTAACCAATACACCACCCCAACGAAGCGTCTGTGGTATGTGTTGTCGGTCCATGCCCAAGTGTGAGTACCTGCTGCCCGTGTCTCACCTCCACTGCCGCCCGTCTCCCTGTACGCGCCGGATCTCAGCCAGGACGCCGTTGGGGTCGATCTTCTTCGTCATCTCCTCCACCGCGTTCTCCGCCATCAGATCTGAGTGGTCGATAACGGGAGGAGTTACACTCAGGATTTAACCGTGAGGTGGGATGGAGCGAGCGGCAGTATATGGTGGTGAGATGATGTGGTGGTGAAGAAAGCGAGATGGTGAGCGCGGTGGTGAATGAAGTGATGTGGTGAGAAGGGGGGCGAGGTGACGAGTGAGGAGATAAGGGAGGTGATGTGGTGAGTGCGGTGGTGGTGGTGAGGAGCTCACGCTGGTGGTTGAGGAAGCAGTGAGCGGCGAGTAGCTTGAGTGAGTGAACCTCGAAGAGCGCAGCGTGGAACAGCAGTGAGCGCGCCGTGGGGCGGACACCCGCTCCCGCACACAGACACCGCTGAATCAACTCCTGGGTACACGCAGCAGAGCGGTGCGGTATGCAGCAGCACCCGCATAACGTCCCAATGGAGCAGAGTATAACACAGCAGGACACCACACAATGGTGACAGCGCAAGACAACACGGAAAGACAGATCACCATGTCACAGCATGGCAGGACACCACCCAACGCCACAACACAGGAGGACACATAACAACCCAGCATACCATCAAACACATCAAGACACAAAGAACCCCATGGAGCCCGCGTAACCAATACGCAGAGCAGCCGTATGCTGCGGCTGCGATCTTCACCACTCACCCTCTGTAATGGATCCTCTAACGAGTTGATTGCACTGCTGATGGCTTCGTGTGACACCAGTGTAGAGCAATCTCCATTTCCCTGGATCTCCAGTACTGCCATCTGAACACACAACCACAGTTTTCCATCAACATGGGTGACACACACAGGAAGCAAAACACAAATATTACCTGTATAGACTTAAACAGACTGTGGAAGGCAAGTGTCATGCTGATGAGTTTGAATAAGAATGAAACTGGTCTACAGTAGTGGTCGTCTCACGGCTGTCTGTTGGTTGTCCTCATCTTCACAATATATTGATGGTGGCCAAATACAAAATAACTACAGTGCAGTTCTTCCGAATTGGTTTCACATAATACGTAAGGCTAAGTTTTTGTACATGCAAATCTTTCTGAGTTGTTGAATCCTGTTTGTTTTCTGGCCTGCATAAATCTTTCTGTTGTGAGGGATTTCCTCATCATGTACAGATATTAACACACAGACATACAGATAGCACAACTATGCAGGTAGCACAAGCAGCAAAGCTGGCATGCCTATAAAGTGCGTGGTGAGGATTCTCACCTCGAGGGCACAGATACCGAAGGAGTAGATGTCCACGGAGGTTGTCACCTCTCCCACAGCTGCACTCGCGCACAGCCCAAGAGCAGCATGAGAGCAGGCCTTCTCGTGGCCACATACCAAATAGGCATCATGTAATAGATTACAAGTGTGCATAAGGTCAACTTCAAAACGCGTAATGTAAGCTCAAGTATTATTTTTAGCATCGCTGTTTTCAGTTCTGCACAGCAAACATAGACTCTTGAGTAAACTAACCGTCAGCCACCGACATGACAGAACGAATGTTCCGATGTTTACACCCACTGTGTGCATGGGAGTGAATTTGTGCGCACACACACACAGAATACATTACGAGGTGAAGGCTGTGATGCTGGTGACATCAAAGTGCCTGTGCGATCTACTGTGGCGGTCGCTGTGGATAATATTGGGTTTGTGGTTATTTACCCCCGTACTCCGGCGCAAAGAAGTGCAGGTTTTTCTGCTCCTCCCGGTAGGTCTTCACGTGGTTGTGAATCGCGTCTGGTGCCACTAGAGGGCGCAGAGCATACTGTGAGCACACTCAAGCTGCCATGAGCACACTCTTCACCTGACACACACAGTCTAGTTGAAGTTTCAAGTTTATTTAGTTTAACAGGTGAGAACTCGTGACAAGGATAGTCTCATTTGCAAGAGTTACCCTGGGGCATTAGTCTGCCAACAGGAGGCAACAATTACTAAGTGTAATCCCCAAGGAGTAATTTGCGGTATAATTTTGAAATTTGGATGACGCCGGTACACAATGGCCTACTCTTGCAAATGACATAAGGGGATATTTAATGTCCACTGTGAAGCACAGTTCATATAATTAAGGTTAGACAGGCAGTAATAATCATGGAGGCCACTGGATTAGAACTGCGAAAATCTACAACAAGCGGCGAAAGTGCTACTGTTAGGCCACGTCACCGTCCAGAGCCTGACAGAAGAACACTCAATCCGACATATATGCTCACGCACACTCACTCCGAAGCACTCTTATAGTGACACAAACACACTGGCACACTCCAAAATGCACACACATACACACACTCGGACAAGCACAAAGCCTCAGCCTGACACGCGGGGGAATTGACCATCGCTGCAGCATGAATCACACACAGGACTGTCATTCCAGTATCATCGAATCGAGACCAGATATGAACTCATCACGAGTCTCATCACTTGGCCACAGAGCGATCACCCAGGTGTCACCTTTACTCAAACAGGGATCGCGATGACTCACCTGGGTTAATCACTCACGCCGAGGGAACTCGGGGTTAATCACAGGGCTGGCGTGCACATGCTCCACAAGCACTTGCCCCAAAACCGATAGGGCGGGTGTGCGTGAGGCCATGGGGAGGGGGGGGGGAAGCAGGAGGTGTGAGTGGGACGGAACGTGAGGCTACGACGTTGGGTGAGATGTTAGAGGATTTGAGCCGCGGTGCCAGTCGAGTTTCGCCAGGGGTGACAGCAAAAACGGCAACAACATATAAAACATGAAGAATACAACGAGGATCTGCAACTACGCCCAGGGGAGGGCTTTTGACATTGATCGACTCCGACTGTGATCATTTAAGCTATGGAAATCTTTTCAACAGAAAAAAAATCCAGCAGCCACAATTTTCATTGGCCGAAGTTAACAAGCAGATGTTGAAGCAGCCGCGAGGCTGCCTCCCCTGTCGCAGTCAGAGGCGCCCGCCAATCAGACTACGAGTACCGTTTACTGATTGTAGCAATTGAAGACAATGAGGTAGAAGAAAGTTTCTCACCATTGGCAAAGATCCTATGCCAGACTGTACACAGAATGGGAGCAAGCAAGTTATTAACATGAGAATGCATTACAAACATCACGATGTTTGGCAATGGGCTCACAGACGGCAAGGAAGGGCGCGATGGCCATTTCATCCGTGGCTGCCTGGAAGCACACATGGGTTTTTACCCGGCAGCCATGCCGGTGCCACCCTGAGAAACCAAACACAGCCGCCCGCTCGCCAACATGGCGAACACAACCCCAGTGCCAGTCATTATGTATTTCAAGTCTCGTTGAGCTCATGTGCAACAGCTATGCTGAGACACGCTGGCCAGCCCGGCCGACCGGATGACTCTGCGACGTAGATATGAGGCTAATGCAGGCATACGCCAGCCCAACGCGTACACGGTGAGATTTACGAGAACAGTGTGACCGCCTGTGGCCTCACCAGAGCCAATCTTGATGAGGCCGTTGTGTTGCATGAAGATGGTGTCGCACGTGAGGTTGCCATGGATGATGGGCGGCACGGAAGAGTGGAGGTACCTATGGAGACACGGGCACACCCTTGCTGCGCCATCACTCGCCCCCCTCTCCCCCGGGACAGAGCATGAGTTAATGCTGGAGATTTAAATTACCAAGCTAGGAATTATCCTCCCTCTCTCACCTTTCAGAGACTCACTAAACACCCGCAGTGCTGATTTTTAATTGGGATCTATTTCCATTGAAAAATGCAGGTAACCTGTGGTTGAGCCTGTTCCGTGGGGAGCGGCAGCATCGTAAAAGGGGGTGGGTTTCCTTCACCCCAACACTTGCCAACCACACGACAGTGCGCGATGCCCACCTGAGAGCCGACAGGATCTGCGTGCACCAGCGCTTCCAGGCCTGTGGCACACATACAATACCACTCATACACTAAGCGTGGTGGAATTCTCAGTATTATTAGTGTGCATTCGTACTGTCCATGGCACGATTCTGTGTACAAAGCACAGAGGACGAAACACACAAATAGCACCACTTACAATGTAAAGTGACGAGCACCTGCAGTGTTTGATCGCTCGGAGCACATGACTGATTCAGAGCTCCTCGATGAGACTGGGCATGGACGGCACAGCACCCACCTTCTCATTCATGGTCTTGTGATTCTTCTTGGTCTTCTTGAGGAACTGCTTGAGGCTGCCTGAGGACATGTACTCTGTAATGAAAATCACCTGTGGAAGGAGCACACCTGTCAGCACCCAGCATAACCGCGCACTCCCCTCACTGCTGCTGCTGCAGCATCTCGCGTCGCACAGGCCACGTATGGATGCACGTTTGACTGATCCCCAGTAGAGCTGCACGGCTGTCCAGATGAAGCTCTCAGCTTTGCTACGGCAAGTCACACAGTGGAGCTAAGCACACACTTGCATGTCACATTTGTATGTGCTCACCCGCGCCTTGTTTTCCTTGATGTCCGTCCAGTACTTGTGGAACTTGACGATGTTGGGATGCTCTAGCTGAATGAGGTTGTCAAATACTGCCTTGATCTTTTCCTGCACAAGGGGGTAATGGAGGTAGGACACAATGAGACGCCCTCATCCCCATGACGTGCACTCTGCTTTGAGGAGATGGGTCCAGGAAACTCACCTCCTGGGCCTTGAAATTCTTCCGCTCAGAGAATTGAACCTCATTCCACACAACTTCCACGCCCTCCTCCGTGTCCATAGCCAGATAAGCACTGTCGATACCCGGCACATTCCGCTGGTTCACCTTCAGATGCACACGGGCGCAGATACACACAGACATGTGTGAACACACACGCATGGTTCACCTTCCCATTAACACACACAACAGGTGCCACTTGCCACTAATGAACAGTGACACCACCACAGTGCTTGTGCCAAGATAAGTGCACAGAGGCACATTCACACACGAGTGAACACACTCGTATGCGACAACCCCACAAGTACTCCCTGTCCGCATACTTCATGTGCACATGAAGCTCCACGGAGCCGTAGTGCTAATCACAGAAATACAGCCACTCGCATTGGCATGCACCATCTCATCTTGCGCATGTACAGCTTGCACTCGCATAAGTCAGAGCAAACACTTTCACAGCACAAACGCGTTTACTGTTCATGCTGGCAACCCACGCTCACATTAAGCATCGTGTTACACTCTTGTGTAACAGCGCTACGCTTGTGTGTCACCGCTTACGCTCGCCATGGCCTCGAGTAACCCACTCTTTCCTCACTCGTGCCGCCTCAATGGCCGCTACCCGCATCACATGACAGGCACGAGGAACATGCCCCATGAAAATGGAGGCCTCAAACCTTATCATCCACTCACCACCCATGCTCACCATTCATCTCCATTACCATCACCATCCACCTAAATTAACATCTATCAGAATCAGAATATTTTTCTATACTGGAGGAATCCAATGAGCTATAAATATTTTTTTCGCAGATGTCCAATAGGTGCGGGTAAGAACCTTACTCACCTATATTATCATTTTCACCATCCAACTGCATGAATATCCTCACCACTCACAAAACTATTTTTTATTCACTTTCTTTTCATTTTTATTACGTTATTGTTATTCTTTTTTTTTTATATATCTACGTGACTTTACCGAACGAACCATAGAATATTAACCTACATTACCATCCTCACCATCCACCATGAACCATCACAATCGACCCTTTCTATTTACCTATATCATCATCGCACATTCTAATCCACCCTCACCATCCACGTCGCTATCCATCTGGTAAACAGAACGCACACTCGCGCTTTTCGTCACACACGAACCCTAAACACCCCGTGATGCATCACATCCACAGAGCACTTTGGAAATGTTGAGCAATTACCACCATAATGATGTTTCTTTTAGAGGGAGACACACAGGCGGTGTTTGTGAGTTCTGTGAGATTGTGTAAACACGTCTGCAGCAGAGAGGCGGCCTGCCTCGTCTCGCTTTACCAGGACACGAAGCTGTAATTCACTGCCCACCGGCGCGTTGAGAGTGCGTTTAATGCGTTTAATGACGACATATCAACTATTTTCCAAGATTTATATGGTCCATTATTTAGTAAGTAAAACGCCATTCACACAAGGCATCATAGCGCTTTACAACAGATTTCCAGTAAAAACATTAAAACGGAGACAAATAACCCTACACAGACGGATAGGAGAGAGTAAATACATGTATTTTTAGACGAGCCTTAAAAGCCTCGACTGACGGAGCGTCCCACGTTTTCACCAGGGTTCTACATTGGGATGTTTATCCAATTACTTATTTCAAGGAATGTTATGTAGGTAACCCTGGGTACGTGGAAAATATCCATACATAGGAGTGAATAAAACCTAAAGGTCCGCACTGATGTGAGATACATGCACTCGATGTATTGCCATCTAGTGGCCACATAGCAACCCAGCGAATTTTGAGTCGTACAAGATGCAGTAATTCCTGCGTAGCCCACCAATAGTACATCGCACCAGTTTGACTCCAAGTCTCTCTCATCTCCACGTCTTGCGCCCGCGTCTCCTCCTGACTTCCAATGTCGAACGACATCGAATCACGTCTCCGCAAATCTGCCTGTCCCCCGGCTCTCTGTCTTCCCGTGTCACCGTCTCAATCCCCCAGTGTCACGCTATCTCCCCGCGTCTCTCTGCCCTCCGTACGCATCCCCGTGTGTCCGTCTCTTCCCGTGTATCCGTCTCCCCGCATCTGTCCCCCCCCCGTACGTCGTCTCCCGATGTCTCTGTGCCTCCCCCGCATCTCACCGAGATCGCGGCCTAGCAGGCTGACCCAAGCCTGCCGCTTTGCCTAAAATCCCTGCCGGGAAGAGCCTCACCTCCTCCCTCCGCTTCTGCCATCGTCCGCAGGGGCTCTCCTCGAGGATCTCGCTCTCGTCCTCGCTCTCCTCGTCGTCCCCTGCGACGAGCGTGGCGGCGTGGTTGTCCCTCTCCCGCTCGCTCCTCTCGGCGCCGGACATCGCCTCCGGGACGAGACGCGGCGGAGCAGACGGCGACTGCGAAGGCGGCGCTCGTCCTCCCGCAAATGGCGACCTGCGCGTGACGTCACGGCGGTGTCGATAAGGCGCGCGGGCGTCGTCTTACAGTCGCTGGTGACGTCACACATCAGAAAGGGGTGGCCGTCCAGCCACTTGTGACGTCATGTACACCCCTGGCACTTGCATCCATTACGCTTGACGTTTAGTGGCTTTTATTTCAGCAACTGAATTAAACGAACGTGTCCAGACCAAACGCCATCAAACAGAATTCGTCTCAGCAAAGCAAACTGCGGCTCCCCGCTAGAGAGAGAGAGAGAGTCAGGCTCCTCACCCAACATGGCTGCCGGAGTGACTCAGGGCTCTGTCGCCCACAGCCACAGCATGGCCCTGCACTGGAAACTCTCCAAGCCCAACGAGCGGGTTCAGAGTGGGACCCATAGCAACGACGACGACGACTTCGCTCGTTGTCTTCTTGCATTTTCTAATTGGTCCACGGCGCTGGATCTCACAGTGGCGGATCGTGATGTTCCACGAGGCGGGGCTGTTGCTGTTTTGAGTGGCCTCTGAACATACACTGTATGGTGTTTCTAATTAAGAAAAATGTCATATTCTTTGGTTCTTTCGGTAAAGTCACGGAGATAGAAAATAAAAAAATAAAAGTAAAAAACCCACGACGTTTCGACCACAACACAATCGGTCTTCATCAGGCGGAGAGAAAAGAGGGAGCAAGCCTCCAAATGCAACTGCACATATAATATATATATTATATATAACATATATAATATATATATTATAATATATTATATATTACAATAATATATAATATATTACATAATATATATATATATTATATTATATAATATATATATTATATAATATATTCTATATATATAAAATCGCGAATCTGTCTGTGTGTCGCCGGACCATACGCACTTTCATTGAACGGCGGTTGCCCCTGCCAACGGGTAGCGACGCCTTCGGCGCGGGGTGGACGCCATTTTGAATTAGCGTTAACAATAGGCGCACGCATTAATACGCGACTCTCACGTAAATTCTTCAAAGTTTCACGTCCTCTTCACTCCCCTCCCACCCCAATGTGTTCTATTACTATTATAGGCTCCGTAGATAATAACATAATAGCGATTAGACTGTATTATTCTAGCGCTGGGGGGGGGGGGGGGGGGGGGAAACGCCACCTGTACCCTGCCTCTGCCGGGTGGGCAATTTAGGCGAGGCCGGAGGCTCTGCACGCTACTAGGCCTCCACACCCACCACGCGACTCTGAGGTAAATTCATCACACTTTCACGTACTCTTCACTCCCTCCCCAACACAATGTGGGCAATTAATATTACTTTTAAACCCTACGCGCCAAGAATCTATTCTTTTAATGGTGACTGTACAAATAGTCATTAAGCTGGGTGAGCGTACTGCCAGTCTATAATATACACTGTAGCCTGCTTATTAAGTAAAGTTAGTCAATTTGTAACACGTACGCTTTAGCAAACATTATTCATAAACAACGTTCAGACCTGGGCCTCCCCTACGTCGACTCAGCCTCAAACGACTAACTGGTGTCGTGTGTGAACATCCTCACTGGGGAGACAAAGGCGGCCGGGCGTGGTGAATCCAAGTACCCGGGCGAAGCCGGGTAGTAAAGCTAGTATTATATAATAATATAAGGGCTTCCAAAGTTGTGAGTGGACGGGGGACGGGAGCCGTGCGGTGTCACCAGCACGGGCGGGCTGAGGACGAGGGGCGCAGTCCGAGTGTGAGAGAGACAACGGGGGGGTAGAGATGGGGGAGGGGAGGGGGGTAGAGATGGGGGAGGGGAGGGGGGTAGAGATGGGGGAGGGGAGGGGGGTAGAGATGGGGGAGGGGGGGTAGAGATGGGGGAGGGGAGGGGGGTAGAGATGGGGGAGGGGGGGTAGAGATGGGGGAGGGGGGGGTAGAGATGGGGGAGGGGGGGTAGAGATGGGGGGGAGGGGGGTAGAGATGAGTGGGAGTAGAGATGGGGGGGGTAGAGATGGGGGAGGGGGGGTAGAGATGGGGGAGGGGGGGTAGAGATGGGGGAGGGGGGGTAGAGATGGGGGGTAGAGATGGGGGAGGGGGGGTAGAGATGGGGGAGGGGGGGTAGAGATGGGGGAGGGGGGGTAGAGATGGGGGAGGGGGGGTAGAGATGGGGGGGAGGGGGTAGAGATGAGTGGGAGTAGAGATGGGGGGGGGTAGAGATGGGGGGGGGGTAGAGATGGGGGAGGGGGGGTAGAGATGGGGGAGGGGGGGTAGAGATGGGGGAGGGGGGGTAGAGATGGGGGGTAGAGATGGGGGAGGGGAGGGGGGTAGAGATGGGGGAGGGGGGGTAGAGATGGGGGGTAGAGATGGGGGGTAGAGATGGGGGGTAGAGATGGGGGGTAGAGATGGGGGGGGGGGTAGAGATGGGAGGGAGGGTAGAGATGGGAGGGGGTAGAGATGGGGGAGGGGAGGTAGAGATGGGGGAGGGGGGGTAGAGATGGGGGAGGGGGGGTAGAGATGGGGGGGGATAGAGATGGGGGAGGGGGGGTAGAGATGGGGGGGGGGGTAGAGATGGGGGAGGGGGGTAGAGATGGGGGAGGGGGGGTAGAGATGGGGGAGGGGGGGTAGAGATGGGGGGTAGAGATGGGGGGGGTAGAGATGGGGGAGGGGGGGTAGAGATGGGGGAGGGGGGGTAGAGATGGGGGAGGGGGGGTAGAGATGGGGGAGGGGAGGGGGGTAGAGATGGGGGAGGGGGGGTAGAGATGGGGGAGGGGGGGTAGAGATGGGGGAGGGGAGGGGGGTAGAGATGGGGGAGGGGAGGTAGAGATGGGGGAGGGGGGGTAGAGATGGGGGGTAGAGATGGGGGGTAGAGATGGGGGGTAGAGATGGGGGGTAGAGATGGGGGGGGGGGTAGAGATGGGGGAGGGGGGGTAGAGATGGGGGAGGGGAGGGGGGTAGAGATGGGGGAGGGGGGGTAGAGATGGCGGAGGGAGGGTAGAGATGGGGGGGAGGGGTTAGAGATGGGGGAGGGAGGGGGTAGGAGGAGGGAGGGGGTAGAGATGGGGGGAAGGGGGGGGTAGAGATGGGGGGGAGGGGTTAGAGATGGGGGGGGAGGGGTTAGAGATGGGGGGGGAGGGGGTAGAGATGGGGGAGGGAGGGGGTAGGAGGAGGGAGGGTAGAGATGGGGGAGGGAGGGTAGAGATGGGGGAGGGAGGGTAGAGATGGGGGGGAGGGGTTAGAGATGGGGGGGGAGGGGGTAGAGATGGGGGAGGGAGGGGGTAGGAGGAGGGAGGGGGTAGAGATGGGGGGAAGGGGGGGGGTAGAGATGGGGGGAGGGGGGTAGAGATGGGGGAGGGAGGGGGTAGAGATGGGGGGGAGCATTGCACCTCGCTGCACACATCCACACTGCTGACGGTGGAGGTTGACAAGAAAACACAAATCAAGTCATGACCCAAAGTGGTTGATGACATCTTTCCAATGATTGCTGAGTTTAAAACCGTCGTCTCGGTTGAAATTGTCTGTATATGTGGATGGCTTCGTGAACGAATCTTTGTTGATAGCCAGTCGGCTTTAAAAGTACCTTCGTCTTAGAGAAATCAATTTCATCTGAGCCAGCCGCATTAAAGTAATGATCAGCCACGGCAGAAGTATTGGTCTATGCCGTGTTTCAGATCTGCCTTATGTTCACGACCACGGTCCGGGACATGTCGCTTAGTTTCCTCAATGTAACTACTGCCGCAGACACAGCTTAGTTTGTAGACGCCGGGATATTGCATGTCAGGAATCTTGTCCTTCACAGATGGGATCAGATCACGAATTGTACGCACTGTGTTATCTACGTGACTTTACCGAAAGAACCAAAGAATATGACTTCCTGCAGTCACGAAAGTTTTAAGTAGAAAGAAAAACCTCGCCATGTTATTGGCCTTCCCGTAAACGTTGTATAATTGTCTTATCGACCAATGCTAGGCATTTATAAACAATACAAAACAATACTCGTTGGTTCTTTCGGTAAAATCACGTAGGTAAAAAAACATCACGACGTTTCGATCACCAACACAAGCGGTCGTCCTCAGGCGGAAAATAAATAATCTAGCAGTGGAACTGCTGGATTATTTATTTTTCTACCCACGTGACTTTACCCAAAGAACTCAAGAGTATGGATTCCTGCAGTCACGAAAGCTTCAAATCAAGATGAATACGAAACAAAACAAAGCAATGAAATGCTGTCCCCATGAGGCTCAAGTCGGTTGATCAGAGCCCAGTTGATTGATGTTCAACTCCTCCTACATCGTCATCCTTGCGAATTGAATATTGAGGAGTGACTCCACGGCGTCCGTTGCTAATTCTTCGTGTGCTGCACCTGCTGCACCTCCTGCCGTCGCTGTTGTTGCCTCCTAGAGAGTGCCGGCCGTGAGCTGCTGCTGCTGCTGCTCCATTTTCAGTGCCACCTCGCGTTGTGACGTGGTCTCTCATTGCAGCCCTGAACGCGTTGTCTCAAGCGGCGTGGCTCCAATGGGAAGCTGCTCAACGCAGTGAATGAAGGGAAATCTCTCACTCGGATGCCTTCACCGCCGCCCGAGACCTCCCCTAGGCACAAATTAGACTGTGGCGTTGCAGTGGTTTCTAATATGAACTTACAATGTTATCTTCATTAGACAATTCACGTTCAAATAATCATTATAATTAAAAAATAAATTATACAACAAAATAATGTAGATAAAAGTAGTTTTATAAAAAAATATATATATTTCTCATCTCCAGCTGCTTGGTGGGGCGGCGCCACAACGAACCACTCCTGGTATATCAATTTGTAGTTTGTCAAAGGAAATGTCATTTTAAAAGTTTTCTCATCAGCCGTCAATTGTAGCTATGTTCGTTTGGCGCGAGAATAAATGCATCACCACGCGACAGAACTGGCATCGGTGACTGCCTGGAAAGTGGACAAAATACCACGATGTCTTGTGTCGCCTTTTATTGCTCGGCGGCCAGAGATGGCAGTACAAGCAACTCTTTAATCTGTTAAACACGTCGGCTTTCGTGACCAATATTGTGGAAAATATTAAATCTATCTGTGCGAAGCGTTACCGTTATACCCTCAAAGGAAGCCACACACTCACCCATGGCATTGGCCACGCACTCACCCATGACATTGGCCACGCACTCACCCATGGCATTGGCCACGCACTCACCCATGGCATTGGCCACGCACTCACCCATGGCATTGGCCACGCACTCACCCATGGCATTGGCCACGCACTCACCCATGGCATTGGCCACGCACTCACCCATGGCATTGGCCACGCACTCACCCATGACATTGGTCACGCACTCACCCATGACATTGGCCACGCACTCACCCATGGCATTGGCCACGCACTCACCCATGACATTGGCCACGCACTCACCCATGACATTGGCCATGCACTCACCCATGGCATTGGCCATGCACTCACCCATGGCATTGGCCACGCACTCACCCATGACATTGGCCATGCACTCACAACGCAGCAGCCCCCTCGTGGACAACGAGACTTTGCTGGTATGAAGAACACTCTTTATTCGGTTACTTGTTCAATTTGTCAATCGCCTTGGAACGGACTCATATAAGACGCTATAAGCTCGATCTTAGTATCAATACCGCGACTTTACTGTAGATACACTTTGTTTTGCAACTGCATCCGTGAGGATACACAAATAGGTGTATGAATCCAGAATGTGAAGTTGATTGAGGTGATGGAGAAGCATGAAAGGGTGGTTGGCTCCTATAAACAGCGACGTGTGTGTAGCAATTAGAGAATGCAAGACAACAAGCAAAGTCGTTGAGATGGGTGTACACACTGGAGAGTGATCGTGTAGGAGGACCCACACCGAGGGGACGAGCCACGGCCCCATACAGCAGGGCCCACGGGGCCCGCGTGGAGCAGCAGCTGGGAGGTGCGCGTCGCCCACCAGCCTCACCCACACAAATAGAAGTGAGGCGACAACAGCTCCCTCTGTCTCTCTGGTGCCCGCCGCCTTCACTCGAAGTGACAGGGCGAGTGGTGGGGGAGGAACAGATGGTGTCGGGAGCGATAGGAGTCCAGTGGCTGAGTAGCGGGTCCTGGGGGGGGGGGGGGGGGTTGTTCTTCTGAGGGGTGCGGTGGGAGTCAAATGTTTAAGGAGCAAACACAGCTCATTACCTTGTAATGTTGTGCAAGCATTAGGGGGCAGTTGCCCCCCCCCCCCCCCCCCATTAAAGTATGCTGTGCATGGCTGTGCCTCGCATGCGGCAGTGCCCGTAGGCAGGAAGAGCTTCATCCGGAGGTGTCCGGGGTTCAGCTCTGGAGAATATCCAACGAGAAATCCTCCTGATGACGCTTGCTTGTGTTGCGATCAAAACGTCGTGATATTTATTATTATTTTTTAATTCACTTTATTTTCATTGTTATTATTTTATTGTTATTATTTTTTCTATCGACCTGACTTTTCCGAAAGAACCATAGATTATGAGAATTCAAGAACCATAGATTGAGAAATCAAGAACCATAGATTATGATAAATCAAGAACCATAGATTATGATAAATCAAGAACCATAGATCATGATAAATCAAGAACCATAGATTATGATAAATCAAGAACCATAGATTATGATAAATCAAGAACCATAGATCATGAGAAATCAAGAACCATAGATCATGAGAAATCAAGGCCCGGGCGCTGTCCAGCAGAGGGTGCTCCAGCACGAGAAACGCGACGCACGTTTGTCAACTCAGCCACAAAACGAACATAACCGACGTTTCGGACAATGCCAAAGTAATGTATATCAGGCCCCAGTGTTATGGACGGATGTGTTGGGGTTTTATATCAATGTTGTGTACCAGTGGCAAGGCAGCGTCACAGAGCTCAACGCAGCAGCAGCAGCAGCAGAGAGGTGAAAGCCGGGGCAGACAGCTGTTCTTGTTGCCCTCTCGGCATTGTGCTGAGAAACGAAGCGTCCGGTACTGAATACGAGACCTTGCAGCGCGGAGCGGCGGTGTCTATTAGCGCAGTCGAGTAACGTAATCCATCTGTCATGTAATCCACTGTGTGATGTAATCCCCTGTGTAATGTAATCCACTGTGTAATGTAATCCACTGTGTAATGTAATCCACTGTGTAATGTGATCCACTGTGTAATCCACTGTGTAATGTAATCCACTGTGTAATGTAATCCACTGTGTAATCCACTGTGTAATGTAATCCACTGTGTAATGTAATCCACTGTGTAATGTGATCCACCGTGTAATGTAATCCACGGTGTAATGTAATCCACGGTGTGATGTAATCCCCTGTGTGATGTAATCAGCTGTGTGATGTAATCCCCTGTGTAATGTAATCCACTGTGTTATGTAATCCACGGTGTAATGTAATCCACTGTGTAATGTGATCCACTGTGTAGTGTAATCCACTGTGTAATGTGATCCACTGTGTAATGTAATCCCCTGTGTAATGTAATCCACTGTGTAATGTAATCCACTGTGTAATCCACTGTGTAATGTAATCCACTGTGTAATGTAATCCACTGTGTAATGTGATCCACTGTGTAATGTAATCCACTGTGTGATGTAATCCCCTGTGTAATGTAATCCACTGTGTAATGTAATCCACTGTGTAATGTGATCCACTGTGTAATCCACTGTGTAATGTAATCCCCTGTGTAATGTAATCCACTGTGTAATGTAATCCACTGTGTAATCCACTGTGTAATGTAATCCACTGTGTAATGTAATCCCCTGTGTAATGTAATCCACCGTGTAATGTAATCCACTGTGTTATGTAATCAGCTGTGTTATGTAATCCTCTGTGTAATGTAATCCACTGTGTAATGTAATCCACTGTGTGATGTAATCCACTGTGTAATGTAATCCACTGTGTAATGTAATCCACTGTGTAATGTAATCCACTGTGTGATGTAATCCACTGCGTGGTGTAATTCACTGCGTGATGTAATCCACTGTGTGATGTAATCCCCTGTGTGATGTAATTCCCTGTGTAATGTAATCCACCGTGTAATGTAATCCACTGTGTAATGTAATCCACTGTGTAATGTAATCCACTGTGTAATGTAATCCACTGTGTGATGTAATCCACTGCGTGGTGTAATTCACTGCGTGATGTAATCCACTGTGTGATGTAATCCCCTGTGTGATGTAATTCCCTGTGTAATGTAATCCACCGTCTAATGTAATCCACAGGGTAATGTAATCAACTGTGTAATGTAATCCACCAGCAGGTGCAGCGTTCTTTCCCGAACCGCCACTGGGCACATCCCGCGCTGACCTCACCCACCTCAGCCTCACCCAGCACAGCCCCGAGCCAGCACTCATCTCCCCACACCACACTCCAATGCAAAGATTATTTTTTAAAATATAATATACATTTATATTTGTGTACCGTTTTGATTCCTTCTGGAATGTGGTTGATCTTGCTCCGATTGCTATTTGCTCCATTTCTGTAGCGTCATTGTATTGATCGCGTTTGGTATGTTGGTGACCCAAATCGCTTTCGAAAAACGAGACTCGTCCTGGCCCCGTGAGTTCCCACCCGGTTGAACAAAATCCACTTTAAACTCCCGTCTTGCCAAAATGGCGCCATGAAAAACTGAGACGTGAAACTGAATATGGGCGCAGAAGGTGAGCAGGGTTAGGGTTAAAACCGTGTAAGCTGATTGGCTATTTGATCAGGGCTGGGGTTCTAACTAGTGCCTGCTTAGCCAGTTGGTTAGGGTTAGTGCAGTGGCAAGTCCTTGAACAAGGAATACGATGGTACAGAGCAGTGGTTCCCAACCATACACAAACATTTTGCTTTCACCACCGCGCACCAGAATTTTTTTTCAAATATAAAAAGACTCCAAATCGTCCTGTATCTGCAAGTTCCGCGTGTTACTTTCCACGGCCTTGTGGGCCGCCAGAGGCCCATGGACCAGAGGTTGGGAACCACCAAGCTGCGGATTTGAGGCCGTGGAACTCCTGCTCGTTTCTGCTGCCACATAGCCAGGCATCCACCGCAGGGTAGATACTCAATAGGCACCCAAGGCTAAATTTCTCACGTAATATATTCCATATCACTGGTAGTTGGAGAAGGTTGGTGACTCAAAAGCCACAGCCACGATAAGAGGCATTCTGGATTCGGTGTGCCGGGTGCAGACAGCCCGGCTGACAATGAGCCCTGCGTGCAGATCTTCAGCTTCCATTCGGATGTGAACTTCCATGCCTGCCGGCCGACAAATACTGTGCACGGTTCTGATACAGCGCTCCGTCATGTGGGGGACGCTGCTGTGTGTTACACAAGCGTGGGGACGGAGGCTCACTGTCATGTAAACGCGTACAACCAATTCATACAAACAAACGACATCCTTCAGGTGAGTTATAATTCGTCACATTTTGAGAAGTAAATCCTAACCTGCTTTTACATGGACGGTTCAGTCGACTATTGCACTATATCTGTTCATTTCCCTTCCTGTAAAAGGAGATGAAGTCAACCATCGCAAACACGAGACCCTCTAAAACCACTCGCACTCAAACCTAGACGCAAACATGCGCCTCTTGCCACTCGTGCCCGACACGCATGGGACGAGGCAAGAACCTCGTCATGGACGCCGGCCCCCACCTGGACCCCGCGAGCTGCCTCGCTCGTGACGTGGAGGGCGGCACGGGGAGGTCAGCTCCCGGCTGGGCAAACAACGACACGAGGGGAGCTTTGGGTTCTCGTGGCTTTCTGGCCGGCCCTGGAGTTCCAGCACCGAGGTTAGGATCTACAGAGGGTCTCAGAGTTGAGTCTAAGAAACTGTAATGGGGCCTGGGGGGGGGGGTGTTATGGGGGGCATTGCCTCATATGCGAGGTATCCATATTGACTCCATGTAAAACTCCATAAGGGCAGGCCTTGGAGGTCTGGTGTCAACTGTGCAACTCCTGTGCAATCTGGCAGAAGTGACTGCTAGATGAGGAGGCATCCACGAGGAGCTGACACAGAAAGGGGCAGGGTGGGGGCGCAAATGGGATAATGCCCCCGTAAAGTAACAATAACCAATGCATGGCCTGGCCTCTCACAGCAGCAGGAAGAGCCACCCTGTGGTTTTAAACTCTTTTTTATTTTACCAGATAAGGACCACGGAGCTATGTAGCTCTTTTTTAGAAGCGATCTGGCCACAAATGATAGCTCAACGAAGTGGCTTATCGCATGGAAATGTATATCTGTGTAGTGTAGTAAAGCACGCACAGCTGATGAGAGGCACGTGTGTAATGGAGTGGCTCACGCGCAGCTGAGGAGAGGCGTCTATGTGTGAGCTGCGGGTTGGCTGTCGGGCAGATCCTGGAAGGTGAGCAGAGTCTAGCTGGGGGAATAGAAGCCGGCGTGCGGGACTGCACGAGGTTCTTCTTTGTCCTGAGCAGGTGTGGGCGGTGTATGAGAGAGGAGGGGTAGCTAGTAGTGTATGAGAGAGGAGGGGTAGCTGGTAGGGATTGAGGTGTACCACGCGTGGTGTTATGCGTGACGTAAAGTGTGCGCTCACAACTGGCGTGTATGGAGATTAATAAAGAATGAGCAGGTGTTATGTTACCTTTCCTTCGAGTGAGTTCCACACTACATCTGTAAAATACTCTAAACGTATGTTTCTAAATATGGTGGAAGAAATAGGAGGACGCGGAGAAAAACCCACGCAATCACGGGGAGAACATGCAAACGCCAAATATACAGGCATCAGGATCAAGATCGAACCTACGTCCTCCTGCATACCAGGCGAGGAAGTTAACTTCTCGCCACTGCGGTGCCACAGCAAGGTCATTTAGTCCTTGCCAGCAGGGATTAAGTTTCTCAATGAATATTTTGCAGATCACTGGTAGACTGGAGTAGGCGACGCATGACTCGCAGTCACAGCCATAGAGATATGTATACTGGATGTGGTGTGCCGGCTGAAATGAAGCCCTCCTTTGATGCACTGCTTGGCATCGAGGCTCCAACTTCACATGAACCCCATCCTCTATGGCTCTGAATGAAGCACTGCAGCGCGTGCTACTGCTGCTGCTGCTAGAATTGCGAGCAGTGTGAAGACAAGTATAGGTTTGTGTGTATACTCTGCACTATATACCATACAAACCCAGCTATCCATACACCTCCTCTCAAATACACCTACATGTTTTCGATAAACCTGTTTCCCACTTATCGCGCTTTTCTCTTCATTAAGTGCATCTCTTCCAGTTACATCAGCGTTAACCCGACTTCTTAGGTTGCGTGCCCTTTCAAAAACCCCCAAAATAGCAGGCCCTCCATTAAATCCTCTCTCCTCCAATCATGACTCCTGCTTCTTAAACCCACATCCTTGAGTCACACTCCTCTCACCCGCCTCCTTGCTACATCCTTCTCCAGGTACACTCCCCTAGTCACAGCCACATCCAATCACACTCCTCCTCACTTGACCGACTCGTGAAGCCGGTCTCACCTCCTCAACCTCCTCCTTAAAACTACCACCTCCTGCAGTCACAGCTCCTCCTTGGTGAACTCGCACACGAAGTACATGGTGTTGGCGCAGCTGACGTCGTTCCAACCTCCGCCGCTCTCCATCTCCACGCAGTCCTCTCCACCGAACGCGTTGTTGGGCTCGCCGGGCCGCCAGCGGGTGAAGGCCGTGGGCCCCAGCGACGCGCCGTCCTCGTAGGCGAAGGCCCCTTCCCGCGCTCCGTCGTGCAGGCCGATGAAGACGCGTGCCAGGCCGGCGTGGCTGACGTAGGCCGCGAGGAGCGCATTGGTGGTCTCGTCCCGCGGCATGGCGAGGAGGCCGCCCCTCGAGCGGCAGTGCAGTGCCGCCTCGGAATAGGCGCGCTCCTCACGCACCAGCAGGTACACCTTGCGCTCCGTCTCACGCACGCCCGCCACTGCTGGAGCACAACAAGTGGCCGCACAGACGCTCGCTTGTCATGAGCTGGGCTGGTGCAATTATTTTTGGAGATGTATCGGCCAAGAGGAGGGGTAATTTTCTGCTGGGATTTTTGCTGAGCGCAGGTCCTGAGGTCCGAAATGTCAAGCACGTAGCCACATCACTCGTGAAGGTGTGATTGCTATGAGTTCACTCATCTCCTGACTTGAGCAAGGTTATGATAAGAAAGAGGCTTGAGAAAAGAGGTGAAGAGAGGGAATTTCATGGTGCAGCAGTGCGAGGGATGACACAGAAAGAGAAGTGCTGTAATCTGCAGCGGGGTGAGTGTGTACAGTGTGAATGAGATTAAACAATCTAGGAAACCGATTCTTGAACGTGGATGGAGGAATCATCACGCAAGAGCTGTAGTGCCCTGGGGACAAAGCCACCTAAATCTGGCACCGTCAGCGTAGGAATTGTGAACACGACAGAGGGGAGAAAGGAACAGAGTTCCTGTCCGTGACTCGGGGTCGCATGGGGTCGCGCCCTCACCGGTCTTGAGGAAGGAGACCTCCTCGCGTAGGCGAGTCACCACGATGTCCATCTCTCCGATGAGAACACGCATGCGGCTGCAGTTACACGGTAAGCCTGCAACAACACCAGCGCAGGGAGACACCGGCACGGATGTGAGGACGTACACAACACCAGCATGCAGACATGCGCACAATTGAACAAGAACGCGGACTAGGGAATTCACAAATATATGAGCACACGCAAACAAGCACCGGGAACACAGACATGGCCATGGAGGTGAGCCTGCAGACACGGGTAAACACACAGAAGCACGCAAAAGCAGTCTTAGAGTCAAAGGCAGGGACCCACGAAGCCAAGCCGAGGTCAAAAGCCTTCAGCCCTCAGCTGTTTAGGTGGAGACCAGTGTGAAGGCTCGTCATGAAGTGTGACATCACTAGATGATGTCACACGTTGTGTAATGAGGCGTGAAGGCGAGCGCATGACATATGACGTCATCAACTTGGTCGATAAGGCATATTATTTATTATTTAAATGTTGTTGGTGGCCTGATCCCACCCACCACCTCACCTTGCTGCCCTTTAGGCCCGGGGGGTCCATTGTCACCCTTGCTGCCCCTCTCGCCTGGCACGACACATGACACACACACACACCGCGCGATGAGCCTCGTCAGCGCGACCCAAGTGTGCAGCGTAGGTGCGCATGGCGCGAGCACGTGATACCTTTGGTTCCTATGGGCCCAATCTTGCCTGGCCGTCCCTGATCCCCCTTGCATCCCTTATCTCCTGGCAGGCCTGCACAGTGCGGTCAGGGAGTGAGTAGAGACAGAAAATACACTGAAGAGGGATATGGGACGAAATGCCCATCACTCCTTGATGTGGCGCCCTGTGATGAGCTGTGGTGTCCGAGATGTGATGTATCGGCTACCTTTCTCTCCAGGTGGGCCCAGCTTTCCAGGCCTTCCGGGCTCACCACGGTCTCCCTGCACACCGACCTCACCTGCACAAGACAGGGCACGAGGCTAGCACTCGCGCAGTGCTCCTTGCTACTTAAACAACCATCATTCAATGCAAGGCCGTAGCCATGGAGTCAACATTGGGGGGGACCAAATCTTCCAGGGTGTCTGGGGGTCCCAACCCAGAAAAATTTCTACATTTGAAAACTCATTTCCTGCCTAAAATATTAAAAAAGTCACTAACACATGGGATGGACTTTTAATTTATTTTGTACAATAATGTCTCATAGTGTATTGTATTACATTGCTCTGTTTTTACTTTTTTACCATTTCTTGTTTCATTGTATGTAATGGCAGAGATTAGGGATTAATAAAGTACAACCATAACCACAATCATATAATTCTAGATTTGAAGCTTTCGTGACTGCAAGGATTCATATTCTTAGGTTTTTTTCGGTAAAGTCACGTAGGTAAAAAATTAAAATTAATAAAAGTAAAATAAAAGAATTTTTTTTTTACCTACGTGACTTTACCGAAAAAAAACCTAAGAACACAATCATATACACAGAAATCTATGCCAATGTTTAGCAAATTGTTTTTTTATTTACATAACATAGCATTTTTTATAGCAATATTTTGGGGGATTTATTTAGCATATTTGATATATATTATAATTACGGCCTTGATTCAATGCATTTGCTGTTACACGATCATGGCATGGACACGAGCCGTCAGGCCCGGGGTAGAATTGGAACGATTCAGCACTATTTGTGGAGCATTCAACATCTACAGGAAGGATGCTACTGCACCTTTCCCTCGACTTCACCAACACTTTGAAATACAATTTGGGATGTGATGGCCCAAGACAGTGGCATCGCCTGCTTGGCGTGGGCCTTGATGCAAATCCACGAATGAGGCCACCTTGTCCATCTGCCACCCCCCTCCTTGTAGCCCGTCGCAAAGCCCCATCAGGCCTTGGTGCAGGTGCACCGCCTGCACACTCCGTCGCTATGCCACTGGCTAAAGCGACACTTTGGGTCTCTCACGTTTAACTTGGTGCTCGTCGGTGCCGCGTGCCCCACACGTCACAAGGGCCTTACCTTTCGCGCCGGGAAGGATCACGTGACTGGCGCACGCCTCCATGATTGGCCGATTAAGTGTTGCTGTGCAGCACGTGCTCGAGAGCAACACGAGGAGCGGCGCAAGGAGGCTCCAGGCCATGGCACGTGACGTGAGGGACGCGCTGGTGGGGCGGGGGACAGGTGAGATGGGCGGGGGACAGGTGAGATGGGCGGGGGACAGGTGAGATGGGCGGGGGACAGGTGAGATGGGCGGGGGACAGGTGAGATGGGCGGGGGACAGGTGAGATGGGCGGGGGACAGGTGAGATGGGCGGGGGACAGGTGAGATGGGCGGGGGACAGGTGAGATGGGCGGGGGCGGGGGGGTCTCCGCGTGGACACGCCCACCACCGCCGGCCATCAACCAATCACGAGGCAGACGCCTGTCACTCACGAGCCAGACGCGATCGTCAGTCACGCGCGCGCACACTTGGGCACACGTGTGTAGTAGTGCACACACGTGTGTGTAGTAGCACACACGTGTGTGTAGTAGTACACACACGTGTAGTAGTACACACACGTGTGTAGTAGTGCACACACGTGTAGTAGCACACACGTGTGTAGTAGTACACACACGTGTAGTAGTGAACACGTGTAGTAGTAGTGCACACGTGTGTAGTACGGATTTGCGTGCCCTTGTGTAGGATGGACATGTGTGGGGTGCACGTGTGTACCTAGCCTGGCACAGGCGCCTTAGGGACGTCACCGCCACCTCGTTGTTGCCGTGAGAGGCGAGGCGGAGCTGGCAGGACCTGAGAGCGAACCTCAAAAGTCGCTTCTCGAGTCAAAAGTGGAACTCGACGACTCACAAAGTCGTGGACTGACCGGGCTCCTGACCGCAGCTGGGGTCGCTAAGTCTGTCTCGTGTCGTCGGCCAAGACGCCGCGAGATTCGTCGCTCGTCCATTTGATACAAAAACACGCGTCGTGAGGGGAACCTACAAATTCGACAACCTGCGGCAACAGCTCGGAGTGGAGGATGTTGACCCCCCGGGGTCGTGCCAACCCACGCCGCCGCTCGGCACCGTCTCAGCCTGACGGGAAGCTGCGGGGACCCCACCTCGTGGTGCTTCTCGTAGCGCACCACGTCCAGGAAACATCTCGCTACGGCCGTGGCGAGTATCAGCCACGTGCCGCTTACTCCAGTCTCACTGCGAGCGCGAAGTGAAGCCCTGCTCAGCGCAGCAGGCCTCGGCACAACTGCAGCGCATCCCACTTGTCAACTCGCATTGCTCCGCTCTCTCGCGACTCACGCGGCGCTCGTCTGAACTAGAGCTCATCATTCCTCGTGGCTCCATGCTGTCACCTCAACTACATTTGGCTCTTAAGCCACCTTCATCTCACTCGAAGTCATCTCGCCATACGCTTCTGCAGCTCACCTGAATGTCACCTCGCATGGATTTCATGAATCTTACTTGAACCTCATCTGTGGACATCGCACCATTCGGATCTTCTCAACTTTATCATCGCACATGGAGCTCATCTCACACAGCCGTCATCGTACACGGACTCAACTCGCGTAAACCTCATCCAAGCTGGACTTCATCTCACACGGATCTCACCTCACGTGGCTCTTCTCTCGAGTAGAGCAGCACCGGTGTCGCCTGGCGGTGGCGACACGCGAACTGCAGCTTCTGATCCTCGTGTCTCTCCTCGTGTCTCTCCTCCTCGTGTCTCTCCCGTGTCTCTCTCGTGTCTCTCTCTCGTGTCTCTCCTCGTGTCTCTCCTCGTGTCTCTCCCGTGTCTCTTCCCGTGTCTCTCTCGTGTCTCTCCTCGTGTCTCTCCTCGTGTCTCTCTCGTGTCTCTCCGCGTGTCTCTCCTCCTCGTGTCTCTCCTCGTGTCTCTGCTCGTGTCTCTCCTCCTCGTGTCTCTCCTCGTGTCTCTCCCGTGTCTCTCCTCGTGTCTCTCCTCCTCGTGTCTCTCCTCGTGTCTCTCCCGTGTCTCTCCTCGTGTCTCTCCCCGCGTCTCTCCTCGTGTCTCTCTTCTTGTGTCTCCCCGCGTCTCTCCTCCTGTCTCTCCCCGCGTCTTCACGTGTCTCTCCGCGTCTCTCCTCGTGTCTCTCTCGTGTCTCTCCCCGTGTCTCTCCGCGTCTCTCCTCGTGTCTCTCTCGTGTCTCTCCCCGTGTCTCTCCTCGTGTCTCTCTCGTGTCTCTCCTCGTGTCTCTCCCCGTGTCTCTCCCCGCGTCTTCACGTGTCTCTCCCCGTGTCTCTCCCCGTGTCTCTCCTCGTGTCTCTCCACGTTTCTCTCCCCGTGTCTCTCGTGTCTCTCCCCGCGTCTCTCCCCGTGGCTCTCCCCGCGTCTCTCCCCGCGTATCTCTTCGTGTCTCTCCTCGTGTCTCTCCTCCTCGTGTCTCTCCTCGTGTCTCTCCCCGCGTCTCTCCCTGTGGCTCTCCCCGCGTCTCTCCCCGCGTATCTCTTCGTGTCTCTCCTCGTGTCTCTCCCCGTGTCTCTCCCCGCGTCTCTCCTCGTGTCTCTCCCCGCGTCTTCACGCGTCTCTCCTCGCGTCTCTCCCCGCGTATCTCTTCGTGTCTCTCCTCGTGGCTCTCCTCGTGTCTCTCCCCGCGTCTCCCCGCGTCTCTCCCCGCGTCTCTCCTCCTGTCTCTCCACGTGTCTCTCCCCGCGTCTCTCCTCCTGTCTCTCCACGTGTCTCTCCCCGCGTCTCTCCCCGCGTCTTCTCGCCACCCAGGGAGGGCGCCGCGCTTCTTTGCGCTGTTTACACGAGCACGGGGCGCGCCTCGTTTGTCACGATCTGGCGGCGTGGGCGGCGGCCGCACTGCCTCGACCTCCCCCGCCGAGTCCGGGGGTCCGGGCTGGTCTGGCGCGGGGCCCGTGCTGAATTCGCGTTGGTGATGGCAGTAGTGGGGGGAGGCGGCAGCAGCAGCTGGGTCGTGTAAAGCGGCGATGGAGGTCGCGTCTGGCGCTCAGCTTTGTTTATCTCAATAGTCTCTGCGATGCAGCGGCGCTGATGTTCCCAACATGCCGCGTGGGGGTGGCGCGCGCGCGTTCTGCTCCATGTTTACCAATCGCCCTCCGTTCCCAAGCTAGCACGCACTGTGACACTGCACATCCGGCTGTTTGAGTTCGTGACTCCTTTTCCCTTCTCGGTAGAGATTCGAACCAGAACGAGCCGTGGCTTTGGGGCGAGGCAGCTTCCAAAGGAAAGGAGCTACACGGAGAGAGAGAGCCTGTCGTGGAGGGGGCTGCTCTCCATTGTCGGGATTGTGGGGGTTGGAGGGGTCACGCGGGCCAGCCACGGATCGGTGCAATCCGCCGTGATGGGTCTCGTGCCGCTTTATTGAAGCCGCGGGCACCGCGCCCAGCTCGATCGCCCCTCGACGAAGCGGCGGTGGCGCGGTAGGGGTCGCCTGGGGTTCACGTGCCCCGAGTGCGAACCACGCGGGGACCCGCTGGCGGTGGGGGCTGTTCCGGGAGTCCCGGGGAAACCGGAGCTCGAGGACAGCACCGAGGATCCTCAACCGAGAAGTGCGTCCCGAGATCCCAAAATCCGCGGATTACGCGACGCAGCTGTGGCCGAGCAAGGCCGCTCCATCTCCCACTAAAGTATCCCCCCCTCCCTACCCCATAACAGAGTCCAGTTTTGTGGGTCCGCGACCCCCCAGTCGAACCAGAGACACAGTGGGACCCGGGGGTTTTAGTGTTTGGTGCTCGTGGCTCCACGTGGGACTTGGCCCAACCGGGATGGGCGAGAGACGAAGGCAGCACAGTAGTCGTCCTGGCCGCACGTTTCGGCTGTAGCCGCGGGGGAGCTCATCCAAAGAAGACCATCGATGACCACCACCACGGACGCCTTCACTGGGCAGAGCGTGCGGCATGAACGTCTCCGCAGTGCGGGGGGCCCTGCTGCTGGCTCCCCACTGGAAGCTGCGTGCTCCCGGATCGTTAAGCCTCTCCTCCTCCTCCTCGCGAGACAGGCGTAGCGGGGGCGGGCGATGGGGGCGGGGCGGTGGCGCTAAGAGGATTAGCGGGATGCGGGGAGGAGGCGAGGCGCGAGCCAGGGGAAGAGGGGTAGAGTGGGCGCAAGAGACGGGGCGAGAGAGAGAGGGTCCGGGGGAGGTGGAGGAGATCATTGGGGAGGTGAGATGATGGTGAGGCTTGGGATCACGGGGTCAGAGGCGGGGTTACGTTTTGCTCACGGTTCAGAAGGTCATGCCGTGGGTCATGGGGTCCGGGTTACAGATTCAGGGTCACGGATTAAAATCTCGCCGCAGCTGCCGCCAGCGCGATAATCTCCGCTCAGGGAGGGATGAACCCCCCGGGTCTGATGCCGCCTCCTCCTCACTCCTCAAAGTCCCACATCTCCTCATCCTCGTGTCCCTGTATCCCCTGCTCTCCCGTGGAGCCGAGGTAGATTCTAACAGCTCAAGTCCGGATACACGGTCCGTGCGGGGATTTCTCCTGGTTCCTGGTTCCGGTCCCAGTCCCGGGTTGCGCTCCGCTAGCCCCGCACCGCGCAGGGCGGGCTGGAGGCCAGGCGCGTGAGAAGACGCGCACAGCGCCTGTAGTCTGCGGGCCGGGGTCAGGGTGGGGGTCACGCATATCAGCGCGACGCAGCTCCACCGCCCAGCTCCACCTCCCAGCTCCACACTCCCAGCTCCACCTCCCTGCTCCACCCTGCAGCTCCAGTCTCCCAGCTCCACACTTCCAGCTCCACCTCCACCTCCCAGCTCTACACTTCCAGCTCCACCTCCCAGCTCCACCTCAAAGCTCTACCTCACAGCTCCACCTCCAAGCTACACCTCCAAGCTCCACCTCCCAGCTCCACCTCCCAGCTCCACCTCCCAGCTCCACCTCCAAGCTCTACCTCACAGCTCCACTCTCCCAGCTCCAAGCTCCACCTCCAAGCTCCACCTCACAGCTCCTCTCTCGCAGCTCCACCTCCAAGCTTCACCTCACAGCTCCACTCTCGCAGCCCCACCTCCAAGCCCCACCTCACAGCTCCACTCTCGCAGCTCCACCCTCCCAACTCCTCGCAGCTTCATCACCCAGCGCCACCCTCCCAACTCCACTTCACAGCTATACGCTTTCAAATCCACCTACCCGCTCCACCCTCCCAGCTCCACCTCTCAACTCCACCCTGCCAGGGGCATGCCAATCCCGACTGGGTGCATCAGATTGGTGTTGGGTCCCCATGGGATCGCTGTGGGGTCCCTGAGGGGTCCCTGTAGAGGGGTCACTCACACGCGGGGTCTCCGCACTCCCGGGATCCGTGTAGAATCCTCTGGAAGTAGCGTGCGCACTCGGGCGAGAAGCGAAGGGGACCTTGTGGATGGGGGGGGGGGGCGCAGCAGGGGAGATAGAGGGAGAGATCGGGAGAGGAGGGTATAGGGGATTGAGTGTGGAGATGTGGGCGGGGCGGATGGGGGGAGGGAGGGAGGGCATTTTGGGGACAATTAACTCATTGGCAACGTTATGACCCTAACAGGTGCGATTGAAGAGTGTGCTCCCTCTGACAGGTGTGCTCACCTGTAAGGAACAAGGGAAGGTGAGGTGTGCTCACCTGTCAGGTGTTTGAGAAATTTGACCTTTGCTCCACGTCGCGTGCCGGGGTCACGTGCCACCAGCTCTACAAGGGGTCACAACACAACTTTTAAGCTGTGTGTGCGTGTGTGCGCGTGTGCGCGCATGCGTGTGTGTACGTGCGCGTGTGGACGTGCGTGTGTACCTCGCGACCCGTCTCCAAAGCGCGGGCGGTCGTGATCTGCCCCGTGGAGATGGAGCGTGTCCAGGATGAGCTCCAGCAACGCGGTTCCGCCGTGCCCCGCCTGCGTGCGAAAGCCCAACGCGGGGTCCCAGGAGCGGTCCCCCACTCCCGTCGCTCTTCTCGGGTTCCCCTTTATACCCAAACCCCCCATTTTCCCAGGGGCCCCCACTTCCCCCAGACCTCTAACTACAGCCACCCCTCCAGGGACCCCCACTCTCGCCGGGCCCCCCACTCCTCCCACCCCCCCTGGCCCCCCCAGTGTCGCCTGTAGGGTGAAGGCGAGACCCACGAGGAGGTGGAGGCACACAGCCTCCATGAGACCTGTGGGAGACACCGCGAGCTCACAACCGCACACAACCACAGTCACACAACCACAATTGCCACCACACAGTGGCAATCACAACCACAGTGACAACCACCCAGCCATCCACACACCCACCACCAACTTCGCTACCATCACCACTATCTCCCGCACGCACACCCACCATCAACCTCGCACCCACAAACCATTCTTATCCACACCCACCACCACCTCCCTCACCTGCCCCCACTGCCCTGAAATATCTCAAATCCCTCACCGCACGTCACCGCCCGACCCAGAGTCCGGGCCATTAAGTCGCTGGGTCGGAACTGCTGCGGCCAACGACACGACGGATTGGAGCCACAGTCCCATTCACATCACCAGGTGAGTTCCTGATGCGCACCAGGTGAGGTCCAGACGTGCACCAAGTGGGATCTCCGCGTGCACCAGGTCAAGGTCCCAGCGCGCACCAGGCAAGTCCCGCGCGTCACGCTCTGCGCTCGGGACGCGTGGGGGATTAACGCTGTGGGGGGGGGGGGGGGGCGGTAGAGGGATGATGAGGAGTGGGGGTTGGGGTGGCGGGAGTGAGCGTAGGGGGAGTGAGATGGAGGTCGCGCGCTGAGGGTGAAATTCGAGAGCAGAGGAGGAGACATAAGGTGCGAGGGGCGTGTTTGAGTGCGCGCCATTCCATGTGCAGTGAGTTCAACTGAGTCGCAGACGTACTCTTTCGAGGCAACACATTTATTGATACCAACACAAAGGGGAAACTGCCCCTTTACCAGATAACAACCTATGGTGGTGGACCACCAGGCTGACTACACAGTGGTAGTGGACCACCAGCTAACTACACTAATTACACTGGGAGTAGCTTTTCTCGGACGTAGAGCGTAGAGTCTTCAGGATAACTACAGCAACCGGTCCCTCTCAGGGACCCGGCTTATATCCTCCGCGGCAGGGCTGGCTCCGCCCTTAGCCACGCCCACCTTCGAGAGCCCTCGAGCAGGATCTTGGCCCTGACACGTGACCACCCCTAGCCCCCACCTGGGGGCCCTGTGTAGACTTTACCGGTCACGTGTCCTTCGGGGTCAACCAGAGTGCCATGGCCCTTGGTAACCCCATTCCCATGGCCGGCACTCTCACACCCGATCCTGTAGGGGTCGGCACTGCACACAGAGCGTGGTGCCCTCCAGCAGCACTCCGAGTCAGCGCTCACCGAGCCTCTCTAGGGCCGGTACTGCACCTACATCCGAGTGGTGCCCGCAATCTCGCTACGTCGCACGCCGGTGCCTCTCTCGGGCCGGCATTACACAATGACACCCGCGATGTCACTCCACATGTTTGCGAGGCCTGTGTCAGAAACGCAACCGAGATGTGAATCCATCTAAAGGGATTTTCCAGGTGAAATATTTTTCTATTAAAATAGCCGAGACCAGATATTTAACTTGCCGGCACCACTTGACGTCACTTTATGGGTTCCAATTTATTCATGTGGCCAATAACAGTGAATTATACCTTCATATATGTTGAACTTTTTTCGCACTGTATTTAGCTAACTGTGCTAATCGGAGGTGCGATAAGCTCTTGTCATGAGTGGGGTAATCGAGCAATTGCCTCTTATCGGCTGTGTGAACAAATCGGTATGGCTCATATTGCACTTCCTCACAGTACCGATTTATGTTCTGGTCCGTGACCTATAAGCGGCAAAGCCACCCTGTGGGGTGACCTTACTGACAGGGGGCCGGGGGTGGCAATAACAAACTCAACTGGGGAGGCGGGCTCAGCTCCCCACCATGAAGTTACAGGAGTCGGGTAAATCAGGGGCTGGGGACTTACGGCACCGTGGGTCAAATATTATCTGCAAAATAATTTCATACGGTCCACGACCACAGGACGTCATGCCACTTTGGACCCGCAAAGGGAATCTATTCATCACTAAATCTTAGCCGCACTTGCTCGGCACGAGAGGCGACTATTTTCCACCTGGGGAGGATGTGGAACCTCAGTTACCTGCCGCCCTTTAAGTGATTATGAGCGTACGGTTATAGCGTCATCAGTTTCGTGTCAACCAAAGAGAGAGGCCGGGGGTGAGGAGTGTGGGTAAAATGCGGTGGAGCAAATGGGGGAGGGGGTCAGGTGCAGTGGAAGGGATACAGACGTAGCCACCAATTTGACAAGACTGCACTACGGTACTGCACACTTCTCAAAATTGAACAAGTCTCCGTCATCTCCACCTTCAATATCACCATGTCACAATCACCATGACCTTTATCGTTATTGCCATCATCACCCTCGTCACCATTCTCGTGACCACTATCGCCACCTCGTTCATCGTGGCAGTGTTGATCTCGCCGTCACGTGACACCAGGGTTCACCCACACGAGCGTTGCTTCACTGTTGCGTCTGGAGATGTTGAGCACCCTCGAAGATTCAACACTTCACACGTATTAGCTCCAGCCCATGCGCTCCATCTCGGAGGCTTAATTTTTATCACATCCTGAACGCGCTATCGGCCTTGCGTCGTCACATTCCTATTGGAACTCTCGCAGCACAGCGCAACCCTTCATGTTGGAGAATGTCCCACGGAACCGGATATCACAGAGCAACCTTCGAGATCCATTCAAGTGGCCTCCGGTCTACACAGAATAGTGGACAAGACTTAGAACCCACTCTGCGTACGAGTCGGGTTCATTGTTTAACCAGGTGAGAACCCGGGAGACCGGGATAGTCGCAAGTGACCTGGGTCACCAAAATAGAACACAGCACTGAAGCAGGAGTGGGGTGTGAATGACATGGCTGTCCTACTGATACTCTTTGGTTGTTTCGGTAAAGCCACGTAGGTAGAAAAATAATAGATCACGACATTTCGATCGCAACACAAGCGACCGTGATCAGGTGGAACAGACACAGGAGGAGAACTGCTGACTCCGTGCCATGGGGAACAGGAACCCACCGTCTCCTGCTGTATCTGTCCCAACTGATGACGGTCGCTCGTGATGCGATCGAAACGTTGTGATCTATGATTTATCTACCCACGTGACTTTACCGAAAGAACCAAAGAGTATGGATTCCTGCAGTCACGAAAGCTTCATATCAAGATTGTCATACTGATATTTCATTCTCAGAACTGGAACTTAACCAAATTAAGTGCAGACACAAATCATGTAATGCGATGGGTGTATTGAGCAGTCATCGGTGACAAGACTGCAACTATCAATTCACTGCATCTGAGGATCCGGTTTCATCACAGGCAGCCGCCTGGATTCAAACCCAGGCTCTCAGCGGTGCCGGCTCTGTGTTCTAACTCCTGAGCCGTCCAGCCACCTCATCTCAGAAGCTCCTGCCCAGAAGGTTGAAGCGCCGCACGCCACGCACAGTTGGAGTCGCACACAGCTGCCGAGTGGCGCTTGAACATCGCCGACAGGCTCCTTTATTGGAATTCATGTACTTACATTGGGGTCGGGTAAAATGGGCATTTACAGGTGAAAGGAAAGGAGGGGGGGCGCACGCCTTTAAATCCTAACGGGGCGCCCTTAGCAGCTCGTACTAGGGTCACTATGAGCAATATTAGTATTATCGGTACGATGGTGATATTCAACATCACTGTGGAGGGTGCGAGCTCCACACAGTCTGTGCAAACGTCTACATTGAGCCACGAGGGTATGGGAGGCCTAGGCTCGGAGGCTTGAGGGGGCCCCAACAGCTTGGAGGGTTGGGGGGCTCCAGGGAGGAGCCTGCCTCGGAGGCCCAATGGCCCTGGGAGTCGCAGGAAGCTGTGTCACACGGTTGTTCCCCATGGCACGGCCTTCACGCGGTAGAACTTGGTTCCCAGAGGGACCCGGAACCTGTTGTGGGCCTATGAGCACACACAAAAGACAAATTCCCCCCCATATAGCCTCAAGAGAATGTTGGGGCAAGCGCTGTTAGTGAGCACACGAGGCGGTGGGTGGCCAGCACCACGGGGCCGATTTTGTCTCCCGAGTGGCAATGTTTACACATCGCACCAGGTACTCATTTGAGGGTGGGTCAACAAAGGGAAGGCCCAGGACCCGGCTTAGATTATTGTCACTGGTGTTGGCCGCGAGCAGGTATCAAACTTGGGTAGTGGGGTTCGAAGCACGGCATGCTAAACACTGCACCACTGCTCCCCACACGTGAACACACAAGCACACGCACGCACACATAGACGCACACAAACAAGCACGCAATCACAAATACCTCCTGTGTCGGGTATACAGCCGGCATGGCGCAAGAGGGGGTGGTGTGTGTATTATTGATAGACAGTGTGATGGTGTGTCTGTGTGCATAACAGTGTGCGCACGTGATTATGTTTTTGTGGTGGTGTGTGTTATGGTGTAATTGCACATGCTGTGACTGTTGACATAATGCTGTGTGATGGCGTGTATGATTGATGGTATGTCTTAGTCTGACGGCGTGTGTGGAGTGGCTGAATGTGGGTTGACATCCACCACACACCTTCTTTGCCTGGCAGTATTCCTTTTCCACCAGCTTTCCCAGAACCCACGGCTTCCTTACCTCGCCTGGAGCTGCACATACACACACACCATGAGGGCAGGGGGTGGTTTGAGGTCACGGCAAGGTTACACCTCCATGGCCCAGGGTGGCGCAGTGGTAACACTCGTGCCTCACAGCAAAAAGGAACTGGATTCGAATCCCGATTTGGGCAGATTTCTGTATGGAGGTTGTATGTTCTCTGTTTTGCGTGGGTTTCCTCAGGGATCGCTCGTTTCCTTCTATCGCTAAAACAACCCAAGATAACTGGAATTGCCAAACATTTCCACGTAAAAAATTACCTTC